TGGCAGCCCACTCAGCCCATTTATGAACAGCCCACAAAGCAGCAGATCGACCAATGTGGACAGCATAACCCAATCTGATGCTAGTAGTCCTGAAATAACAGTAAAGGGGCGAGGACCTATGTTGCCTCGACTTCAAACAGATACAAATAATCTGTCAGATCCACACATGGCAGAAGAGGAAACATATGATGATACACCACCTCGAGGGTGGAAGGATTTAAATGAAGTTTATAATCTTCTTCTTACTGAAGGAGAACCAACCAATTCCAGGTAAGCTTCAGGACTCAAAGAATGGGAGCAAGCTATGGAAAGTGAAATAGCTTCTATTGAAAGGAATAACACTTGGGAGTTAATGGATGCCCCAGGGCATCGACCCATTGGACTAAAATGGGTATACAAAATCAAAAGGGATGCAAAAGGAGAAGTCACACGACATAAAGCCCGGTTAGTCGCCAAAGGCTACATCCAACAACATGGTGTAGACTATGACGAGGTATTTGCACCGTGGCTAGACTTGAGACTGTTAGACTCATTCTAGCTTTGGCAGCACAAAGAGGGTGGGACGTTCACCACTTAGATGTCAAAACAATGTTTTTGCACGGGGATCTCAAGGGGGAAGTCTTTGTATCACAACCGGAAGGCTTTGTGAAAAAAGGAAAGGAACAAAAGGTATACAAAACTGTCAAAGGCTCTTTACGGGTTAAAACAAGCTCCACGAGCTTGGAATACAAAGCTAGATGGAGTTCTAAAGGAGTATGGATTCCAAAAATGTAAACTTGAACAGGCTGTGTACACAAAACGTACACGCGAAGGATCACTCTTGGTGGGAATTTATGTTGATGACTTGATTGTGATGGGAAATAATTTAGAAAAAATCAAGCAATTCAAAAGGCAAATGGAGGAAAAATTCGAGATGAGTGACTTGGGCTTACTCTCTTATTATCTCGGGCTTGAAGTGATGCAATGCAAAGAGGGAATCAGAATCAAACAATCTAGGTATGCTATAAAAATCCTACAGCAAGCAGGAATGTGGGAATGCAATTCCACTAAATACCCAATGGAACCGGGACTGAAATTAATGAAGGATGATGGCAGCAGCAGTGTTGATGCAACTCAGTACCGAAAAATAATAGGTTGTCTTCGATACTTGACTCATACAAGACCAGATCTTGCATACTCGGTGGGATATGCGAGTAGATACATGCAAGCTCCTCAGAACACACATTTTCAAGCTGTAAAAGAGATTCTCAGATATGTGAAGGGTACTACAGATCTGGGAATTCATTATCGAAGAAGTGGAAGTAATGTTTTACTTGGTTTTAGCAACAGCAGCTTCTCGGTAGATCCGGATGATGGAAAAGGAACTACTGGATTAGTTTTTCACTTTGATGATGGACCCATTGCTTGGAATTCGCAAAAACAGCCAACAGTAGCCTTATCATCTTGTGAAGCAGAATTTATGGCTGCCACTTCAGCAGCCTGTCAAGCAATATGGTTAAGGGGATTGTTAGCTGAAATAACTGGAAGAAAAGAAGAACAAGTGGTGATCAAAGTAGATAACAAATCAGCAATATCCTTGATGAAAAATCCAGTATTTCATGGAAGAAGCAAGCATATCAACACGCGGTATCATTACATACGAGAGTGTGTTGAAAAGGAGCAGATTAAAGTTGAGCACATCAGCGGAGATCAACAACGGGCTGATATTCTTACAAAAGCACTGCCAAAGCTGAAGTTTGCTGAAATGAGAAAGATTCTTGGGGTAGAAAGGATTGAAGACTCGAAGGACTCAAAGAAGTAAAAGAAGACTCAAGGTCAAGATTGGGAGGGTGATTGTTGGACCAATCTTGACATTCAGTAATAGTTAGGGGGTTTATTTTGTAATTATGTTGAAGTCTTTATTTGTTAATAATTAGGGTAGAGTCAGTCATAATTTTAGGAGATATATCTCAGATGGATTTGAGATTACCATAGCTTGTAGGAGTAGGAGATGTTATGCTTGGAGAGCAAGGCTGATGATTTAACTTGGTGGACAAGGTTAACTCATCTATAAATAGGGATAGTTTCTCTGTATTTTATGCGTTCAAAGTTTTTCAATTAATTAGAGAAGGATTTCCAATAAGTTCTTGTTCTAGATTTCTGTTTTCTATTTATCGAGATCTGGTACCAATAACTTCAAGCGGTTCTAGAGGTTAGTTATTTGTGCCATTTGTGTTTAAGTGTACTCAGTGTGCCTTACACAGTTGACATGCCTTTTTCCAGTATTTCTATGGTTTCTTGTTCAAGCATGTTGTTTTTTCATGCTTTGTGTTGTTTTATGTTGCAGGGTAACATTGAGAACTGTGTTAAAGATGGCTTAAAGCACCCAAACAGCGTCGTGCACGTTGTGAATGGAAATTTTGGTGAACTGTTTCCTCAAAACAAGTCCTCTAATATTGATAGCTCACAAGATAGCAGTGGCAGCAAATCAGCGGTTCTAGAGGTTAGTTATTTGTGCCATTTGTGTTTAAGTGTACTCAGTGTGCCTTACATAGTTGTAGATTACATGCCTTTTTCCAGTATTTCTATGGTTACATACTGGAATTCGCTGCAATAGCAACTTCTATCTTATGTCTAGACGCCATTTCTGTTCGTGTTTTTTTCCACTCTTTTCTCGTGATGTGGTTGGGTATGCGGTGAATGTAGCTGTAGTAGCAGTATATGGGCTGGTGGAAAGGTTGGATGAACACATGAAGGGGAGCCTTGGCGCAAATGTTGAGTTGTTGCCACTTGCCATGTGACCGTGTGGTCATGGCTTCAAGTCTTGAGAGCAGCCATTTGCAAAAATGTAAGGTAAGGTTTGCCTACATTACACCCTTGTGGTTGGACCCTTCCTCGGATCACCGTTGCAGGGAGGCTTTGTGTAATGGGCTGCCCTTTATAGATGACTCTTTTCTTCAACCACCACTAGAATCATACCCGTGCATTATACCACATGGTAAGTAATATATTTGACTCCAAAGTCAAAATCGACTTGTGGGGTGCAATTGAAGGGGGTGGGGGGGTGTGTTTGGGTTGGGGCGGGGTGGGGGGGTTTACCGGGGGGGTTAGGGGGTAGGAACCGTCAATTTTACGAACGGGGCACCGGAGCGCCCTCGGGAGCCAATGTCATGGGAACCTTCCCCTTGTGTATCTTGGACCTATCTTGTTGGGCTTGTAACTTGTATATATATTCTCTCGTATCAATGAAATGATCAACAAAATTCAGTTCCCAAATTCTTCATGGTATCAGAGCCAATTGTCCAGATCCGATCGTCACTTTCCGACCCGTCTCTCAAATCGTCTCTGTCCAATTTCTTTGTCCGTCCGCCAGAACCTCCGATTCCGATCCGGCCCGTCACATCACAGTCCAATTTTTGATCCGTTCGTCACTGTCTACTTCCAATCGCTGATCTCATGTTTGCTTCCAATCGCGGGTCTTCGTCTGACATCCAGTTCGTCCGCCGATCCAGCTTGATTATTCCAGTTCGTCCGAAACAACAGTCCAGCCAAAGTCATTTCCATCCGGATCCGGTTGTCCGACTCGTCTTTCCGGTCAATCGTCGATCAAGATCAATTTCCTTCCGTCCGAATTAGCCATCGTGCGATTTCTGATCGTAGGTCTTCGTCCGATCTCTAACAGTTTCGCCCAGTTTTAGGTCTCTCCAATCTCTGGCAGTCTCGCCCAGTTGATCCGACAGTCTTGTCCGGTCTTTAGCACAATTCCATGGAAGCTAAATCCTACAGCAATTTTCCTTAACAGTGTTGGATTTGTTTGGTGTCAAAACGTCACCATCAAATTGATATACAATTATGACTTCTACCTCGTGTAAATGGTTGGTTGATAGTGGTGCTTCTCATCATATGACAAGAACTTTATCTCACTTGTTTATTGTTGAGGATGTATCTTCTCATCCTATATATCTTCCCAATGGTTCCCGGATTCAAGCCACTAAAAAGGGAAGTATCTGCTTGTCTCCTCATCAAGTTCTTCATCATGTGTTTTATGTCATTTGATTATTGTTGAGTGTTTGATTCGAGACACCACCTGTTATGTTACTTTTAATGATTATGATTGTGTAATACAGGACCGTTCGTCGAAGATGGTGATTGGACAGGGAGAACTGCGAAACGGAGTATACATCTTAGCTTCCTCCCTTGCGTTGGCTAATGTGGCTAACGTGGATCCCCTCCTTCATCAACGTTTGGGTCATCCCTCCACAAATATTTTTCCTTTCATTCATTCCAGTAAGTCTAATTCTATTGTCAAAAAACTTCAAGCATGTGAAATTTGTTTTTTGTCCTAACAGACTTGCTCATCTTTTCCTATCAGCCAGCTCAAGCCGTTTTTGATTTAATTCATTGTGATTTATGGGTCCTTATTCCCCTTCTTTGTCGTCTGGTGCTCATTATTTTCTCACCATTGTTGATGATTTTTCTTGTGCTGTTTGGGTGTATCTTATTCGATCCAAAAGTGAAGTTATAGTTTGTCTTAAGCAGTGTTTTGCTATGATTCACACACAATTCTCTAAAATAATTAAAGTTGTACGTTTAGATAATGGTACTGAATTTCTAAACACCTTTTCGTCAATACTATGACTCTATGGGTGTTTGTATACAAACATCGTGCGTCGGTACCCCACAACAAATGGTAGAGTCGAGCGTAAGCATTGTCATATCCTAAATGTTGCTCGCTCTCTTATGTTTCAAGCCTCTCTTCCGATTGAGTTTTGGGAGGAATGTGTTAAAAGAGCTGTCTATTTAATCAATCGAACTCCAATGAAACTTCTTGGGGGAAAATCTCTCTCGAAGTTTTATCTTCTAAGCCACAAGATTTGAGTCATCTCAGGGTCTTCGGTTGCTTGTGTTGTGTTCGTCAGACACCTAAACCTACAAACAAGTTCTCTCCCCGTAGTGTGAAATGCATGTTCGTAGGGTATCCATATGGTACTAAAAGGTGGCGGGTTTATAATCTCGACACTCACCAATTTTTTCACACTCGGGACATTGTCTTCGATGAAACATAGTTCCCTTTTTCCATTCCATCTTCCTCCTCTCCCCAACCCGTATTAAATCCCTATGCCGTCGATTTTCCCGACGTGCAAACTCTGTCCCAGTTGCCCACTTCCCAAACCGAGACAAAACCTCTACTTCCCCGTCATCCACTCAACCCGAGCAGGCCTCGTCACCCTCGTCATTCGAGCAGTCCAGTCCCTGTCACCTGAGCAGTTCCTGTCAGCTTCCCCGTCAGTCACTCAGTCCTCTTCGTCGGGGGAGACCACTTCTCTACCTCCGTCCCTTTGCCACCTCGAACTCGTCATCTCCCGTCCCGACTCAATGACTATGTCCTTGATTCTGCTATAGTTGATACTCCGATTTCCACTTTATCCGCCTCCGTCTCGTCTGGTACATGGTTCCCGATTACTAACTATGTTCATTATGATAAATCTTATCATAAATCTTATCGTGAGGCCGTCAAATTTGCTTCGTGGAGGGAAGCTATGGCGCAGGAGTTCACTGCGTTGGAAAGGAACCGTACTGTCCTTCCTCCTAATCGGCGAGCACTTAGGTGTCAGTGGGTGTACCGTACCAAGTATAAGTCTGATGGTACCAAAGAGCGAGAGAAAGCACGTCTGGTAGTATTAGGGAATCATCAGCAGCTGGGCATTGATTTCACAAATACTTTTGCCCCCATGACTAAGTTGGCTACAGTTCGGGTCTTATTGTCTGTCGCCCTCGCTCGCGGTTGGCAAGTTGATCAGTTGGATGTTAATATTGCTTTCTTGCATGGGGATCTTCAAGATGAGATTTATATGAAGCTTCCTCCTGGCTATCCTCATCTATTTCCGGGGAAGGTTTGCCGGTTGCGAAAGTCCTTATACGGGTTACGTCAGTCTCCCCGTAATTGGTTTGCCAAACTTCGTCTAGCACTTCGACATTATGGTTTTCGTCAGGCACATGTTGATCACACACTCTTTGTTCTTTGTCGTTAACCTGATATGCTTGTTGTTCTTGTTTATGTGGATGATATTCTCGTTGCAGGCAATAATCCCTGCTTGTGTTCTTCTTTTAAGAAGTATTTGGATGCATGTTTTCAGCTTAAAGATCTCGGTCCTGTCTCTTACTAGACTCGTACCCGTGCGTTGCACGGCCATAAAATGAAGTTACAAATTTATGTAAAAGTGTTATTACCACATATAAAAAATTTATTTATTGAAATAAAAATAATAATTACTAACTGTTGTGCATTGAAAAAAAATATGAATGAAGGAAATATTATACGGAATAATTCATTAGATATAGAGATGCACAAAAGTATATTCTTGATGATTCCTACCCCCCAGGCACCCCCGGTAAACTCCCCGTCCCAACCCAAACCGACCCCCCACCCCTCCAATTGCACCCCACAAAAAAAGGCGCATTCTTAAAAAGAACTTGTTCAATCACCAATACATTATAGATGGTTTATACGTTTCCTACTCTATAGAAAAAACTTCAAAAAGATCTCACTCAAATTTGGACAAATGCAAAATCAAAAGTGAAGTATTTAAAAGAGAATTTCAAATGAAATTCATGTCCAAAGTATGTGTAAGTGATTGATTGATATCAACCATTCCAAATTAACAATAGAAGATAAGAAAAAGGAACAAACGTATGAAACCATATATGAAAAGAATTCCATTGTATCTACTTACACATAAACTAAACATGCAAGAAACCGTATAAACAAAAGTACTTGTTTTGTTTATCCAAGATTGATCTGCAGAAATAGAAGTATATTTGTTTCTGGTGATGCAAGTTATTTAACCATAACCCATCTCTCCCCCATTCACAATTATCATCCCTTGTAAATTGTTAGCTGGAGGGATCTGAGCAGGGTACATGTCTTCTGCCAGCTGCAAACTACTGAACTGTTGCCAAGTTACATTACGACGACTTTTTTTAAAATTTAAAAATAGCTATTTTGCACTGTACACATTGAATGGCTTTTCCTTTTCTTTCCAAAGAGAGGAGCTTTCCTTGGAATGAGAACTCAAATCAGGACCAAATGGCCGGAGTGGATATAACAGCACCCATAGGCTTATTGCCAATTTGATACACACTACAGCTCAATAAATCATTATGGCAAAAAATGTTTTTCAAAGTATTCTTTACTTAAGATAGCTAAAAAGCCTAAAATGAAAACTTCCAGCCTATGACAATATGTACAGGGAGCATATATTGAACATGAAAATGCTAAGAAAATAATATCTTTTAAGATAGCTAATGTTTCATTCTTTACTTAAGATAGCTAAAAAGCCTAAAATGAAAACTTCCAGCCTATGACAATATGTAAAGGGAGCATATATTGAACATGAAAATGCTAAGAAAATAATATCTTTTAATTAGTACCACAGATGAAGTACCTTTTTATATAATGTCTAAATGAAACATTTCTAAAAAAATCAGCGGAGAAAACACTCTTTTCATCTCTTTTAGTTGTTAACCTGAAACTTCAAATAAGAAAAATCAGCAAAACCAACAGTAACAATAACCATTACTATTAACTAAATATGTTACAATTCAAGCCAAACACTTGGCGCTCATTTAGATTGAAATCGTGTTTCCATGAGAATGAAGTGTTTTTAGATTCATACGTGTGGCACAGCAAGTTGGTCTTAAAATTATTAATGAAAAAATTCATAAAATAAATAGTATAAATCAGAATTCGATTATAGCATAAATATGAACTCAACTTCCTAGACAACACAAATCATCATCTGAGAGATGAGAAAAGCTTTGGAAAGTTCAGCTGCTCAAACAACACAAAGTCTTTGAGACGATGAGATTAGCTGCACATGCAATTCCAGACTATGACCATGCAGTGCATCTGTGCAGATTCAAATGTCTCAATAGATAGCAAATTCTTAGATCAAATGCGTATAAGTATGTCAGGAGTATTATTTAAATTGATTCAGCGGGAATAACATGCCTAAAATTCTTTTCCTTTTGCAAATCAGCAGATACTCTTACTTTCTCTTCAACACTTCTATGGACTTCATTAAGCAATCCATTCCTGCACCAGGTCTGAGCAAAGGTGAGCAATCATTTACTCATCTTCGGTAGAATTCTCATTGGATGACCCACTCAATTCTAAATAAGGACTATAATATGGAAGCTACCAACAACATGAAAGCTCTATTATAATAAGTAGTAATAATAATAATAATAAAGAATAATAATAATAATAAGAACAATAATTAGTCCAACTGATTGAAAACGAAAATACCTAAAATGGAGTAATTTCCCCTGTGGTATCAGCTACTCAACATAAAGAATGGAAGAATAAAAAAAAGAGAAGCTGGAGATTGTTGGCTTATGCTAAAACATTTTAATCATGCACCTCTAAAGATATGAAGTTGAGAGGTGATGGTGGGATAGACAGATAACGTGTTGATGCCATGAAAAATGAAACTAATTATCCATGCAGAAAAACATCATATTAAGTAAGCCCACCTATAAGACTTGAAGAGAACTTATGCTAATTCTACGTAAAATGTTGCACCTCATTATCTTCCGCCGTGAGAAGATCACAAATACAGAGTATTGCCATGGAAATAAAACATTCAATTAGCAGCGTGGCTACTTACTCGCAGCGATATGCTCTCTCTCTCTCTCTCACTGCGGCGTTGTGCTGAAGGTAATTGGACGGCAATCGACGACCTCCAACTTGAGAAGTGAGACAGTGCACGACTTATCGCTTGCTAGAGGGAAGCATCCTTGCAAGAATAGGTGTTACCCACTCACGTATAGGGCCAAATATATGGCTAAAAATGCTACAAAAAAAATTGTAGGAGAAGATTATAAAACCAAGTGGATAGAATATGGAATACATATAGGCAAATAAGGAAGTTCCATAACATTAAATTATGAAAAGTACAGATGAAATCATCAAACCCTAAAACATAAGACAATAGGTTAGAGATTCATACATGGTTTTTCTCAGTAATGCAATCTTTTTTTTGGCATATCACAAAATGTAACATAAGACAATGAAGAAAAGGAGCTCCGTAACGACCACATAGCCTCTCTGTTTTAGTCTCACTTGTCCCATGTCCTCGTCATGATCGTCTTCCACCATCGCTAAACCTAGAGTTTTAAAATTTGGAAACCCCAAGTACCAAAAATTTTATAAGCATTCTCTGTTTACAATTAAATACCCAAATTTTAGGCGGCCCCCCATCTCTACTCCAAAACTACCATTTCAACTTGAAAATAAATTCCATAAAAAAATAAGTAAACTATATTCACTCACTTTGGAATGCAATCTAAAAAAAACTTTCGTTATCCATCGCGAAGTTCTAAAGATCTTATAAATAAACAAACTAATCGAATAGAAAGAAAGTGTTACCTATTCTCTGAATGCAACATCTACTTTGTGTTGCCCCACCCATCATCTATGAGGGAAGATAGGATTGAAATTCTAGCCTAGACCTGTTGTCTTCGCCTCTGCCAGTAGACATCATTAGACAAAATTAAAACTCAACGGGGCGTGTTAAGCCCCTGCTTCAACGAAAGGAATGGCTAGCGCAAGAATTCTAGACCTTGTGTATGTTCTTGTTATTCGGTTTTAAATGTTAAAACAAAACCTTATTTTGTCTGGTTCAAAATAGGAGTTGCTTAAAATAAACAAAAGAGAGATCTAGAAGAAGCTTACGGTTGACTCAAGCGAATGACAAACAAAGAGAGCACGGCTCACATACGGCCTTTCTTTGGGCATTGTCCCTTACGCTACGTTAAAGCAACGGGCAACAGAGAGGATGAATTGAGAGTTGAAAAATCCCAATTTCGAGAACTGAAATTGGAATTTAAAAAGAGACATAGATTCAATGGATGATAATAAATAAACGAACATATTGAGGATGAGAAATTGAGAACATACTTGCGCAAGATGGTCGGAACATCAAAGCATGCTCGATAATTCCACCATGAAGCCTCAACACCAGATGCAGAGTAGACTGATTGAATCCCAAATCAAGCACCAACAAAGATGAAATTCCACGGAGATTGAATCCAAAAAGGCATCAATGCAAGAACAAAACCCTAGATTAAACGTTTTACCTTTTGGATGTTGTAGTCGGAAAGGGTCCGGCCGTCTTCCTTGCTTCCCGGCGAAGATCTGCTTCCCGGCAAAGATCTACTGATCCTGTGTAAGATCTGCTGCTGAGTCGGCAAGGGTCCATTTTACTTTTTGGATGTACTTCTTTATTAAATTTTCTTTCTTCAAAAGAAAATGAATGTGCGGTCCAAAGTGTCATCCGTACACTAAAATGAGTATGCAGGAAGCTTCACCAGCTTTTTTGATCGGAATGTGCGGTCCAAAGTCATGCGTCTAATGTAGTGTAACAAATGGGCGGGAACACTGTTCATTTTATCATCTTACCATTGTATATAGTAAGATTCTCTAGGTATCGAGTGTGCTCGCTCTTCCACTGGTATGGTTCTCAATCAGCGCAAATATACTTTGGATATTATCCGAGTAATCATAATCTTGCATCACCAGACCCGACATTTGCTATGTTGTTCATGCTTTGTCTCAGTTTATGCACGCTCCGAGGTTGGATCATTGGAATGCCGCCTTACGTGTTCTTCGGTATCTTAAGGGGCATCCTGGTCTGGGTATTTTCTTTCGTCGTGATAGTGATTTGACCCTAATGGCTTTTTCTGATTCAGACTGGGCAAGTTCTCCTATCATACGACGATCTGTCACAGGTTATTTCGTCCTACTTGGCGGTTCTCCTATCTCTTGGCGCACTAAGAAGCAAACTACGATCTCTTGTTCATCAGCAGAAGCCGAGTATCGCGCCATGGCAGATGCATGTGCCGAAATACGGTGGCTACGAGGACTACTTGCAGCGTTACATGTTCCTTGTGTGGCTACTCCGCGGTTATATTTTGACAACAAATCTGCCCTCTTCATTGCGGCCAACCCAGTCTTCCATGAGCATTCCAAACATATTGACATTGATTGTCACATTGTTCGTGAGTGTCTCCAGCGTTCTCATATTGTGACAGCCTATGTTCCCACGTGATTACAAACAGCAGACATCTTCATGAAGGCACTCCCGGGTTCTCTCTTTCATTCTCTTTTAGCCAAGTTTGGCATTTTTGATCTCTATGCTCCAACTTGAGGGGGAGTGTTAGTGTATATTGTACATATTTTATATTTCTTCTATTATTTGTGTTTATCTTGGACTTATCTTGTTGGGCTTGTAACTTGTATATATATTCTCTCGTATCAATGGAATGATCAACAAAATTCAGCTCACAAATTCTACACATCTAACAAAGGAGATATAGTAATAGGATAAAGTTAAATTCAAAAATGCTCCGGAGTAATTAGTTAATATTGGATTTGCTTACAAATGAAAACTGAAAGAGTTCTAGAGATGAAATTTAAGTTGATGAGATATATATGAAATTTATATGGAAACGATGTATAAATGAAAAGAAGAAGATTTGGAACCTTGAATTGTGAAAAAATATATGAAGAAATTGGCACAACCCCTGCGCCAATGCCTCCCCTGGATTTTCCATTGTGATTGCCATGCTGAGTACCATCTCTAGGTCTGAGACGGAGGAGGCACTGATCAAATAAATATGAAATTTATATGGAGATGTATCAATGAAAAGAAGAAGATTTAGAATCTGAAATCGTGAATATGATTGAAGAAATTTGCCCAGCCCCTATGTCATCACCTTGCTGAGTCCCCTGGATTTGTCATAGCTATTTCCTTGTTGAGTCCCGTTGCTAGGTATGAGATGGAGAGGGAGGGACGTGAAGTGAGAAGCCTGAGCGCTTAATCAAGGAATGGATGAGAAGGAAGGAACCGGGCGAACTTCCCCATGAACAACTAATGTAGCTGTGAATAGGCTGTTTGGACTCCCCAATCCCCATGCAAAGTTAAATGAAGGAAAAGGTTGTGGCTTATCAATGCTCAATCAGCGGCCAAGATTCATCCTAAAAAGCGCATACCGGTGGATATTGCAGCAGGATGGGCAGGAAAACTTAGCCAGATTTTCACTTGCTTCTATACATTACAGTATATAATGTTATATTAGACTAAACTCATTTTTCATAATTGTTTTTACTGTTATTAATTGGTAGGTAATTCATTTGGTGGGAGTTTGATTTGTTGATTATGTGTTTATCCCGTATCTATATTGATCCGTTGCTGGGCTCATAATTATGTGGTGTAATTTTTGAAATTGGATTAAACAAGTAGATTTGATTTTTGTTTAAGCAAACATTCGCCTAATATCTGCACTTTGACACAATCTGCTCATGCTTTCGTGTATGCAGGAATCTGCAGAGGATGCTGCTGCGTGTTTCACTTAATAGACCACGCTCTATAGCAAGGCCAGGAATGTAAGAGTATCTTATCTTTGACTTTTTTATTTTATTTATGGGAATGCCTTCCAAATTCCAATGCTCAATGTTTATGCGTGACTGCAATAGGACTAGAGGTGGCAATTGCCAATTAGGTCAATCAGATCGGTTTCGGATTGGATTTTTTGGTTTGGGTATCTTTCGAATATATGTTATAATGGGTTCGGTTCGGTTTGGATCGATTTAATTTCGATTCGGATTTGATTCTGTTCTATATATTTTCTGGTTTTGGTTCGGTTTCGAGCCGGTTCAGATACCGTTCGGATATAAATCGGTTCACACAAATTTCGGATCGAAAACAATTTGGATCGGATATATTTCGGTTTCACATCTAGTTTGGTTTGGATATATATCGGTTTTGGATATGTTTAATTCGGATATATTTTGATCGAATATATTTTGGATATATATTATTTTCTAATTAAAATTTAATTATTCATGTTTTTTTTCTGTTTTATCACATTTATCAATCTATCATCAATTGAACACCTCATATTCTTTTATATTATTTCTAAATAGACTATCGCTACTCTAAATCATCTTTCTTTTTTGACCTTTTAATTATATTTTACAAATTTGGAATACAAGTTATGAAAAAATAAATATTTAATTATTATATAAAATTAATATAAGTAAATTGATTTTAAAATTTAGTTTTGATATATCAAATTTTTAACTCACCTACTAATATTCTTATGTTTATAAATGCAAAGATAAAAGATAAATTCAAATAGTGTTACGCTTTAATTAAATAAAATTTTGTAAAAATTGAGTGAAATTAGGTGAAATTAATGGAATTTTATTTAATATTACTCCTAAAAATTGATAGAATTGAATGAGATTAATATAATTCAGTGCAAATTTTATAAAATGTTTGAGTGTATTTGGTTGAAATTAGATAATATTAAATTCAATCAAATATAAATAATTTTATACCTAAATTTAATGATGTAGATCAAAATTGAATATGATAACATTAAATGTTGCCGCTAGAGAGTTTTTTCAAAATGAACCTTTAATTTTACTGAGTAATATTAGGTGAATTGGTTTGCAACTAATCAAACTAACTCCTAAATCAATAAAATTTATTGTAATGTGATGAAATTAGGATAAATTAGGTTTTTCCATATAATTCATCATATAATCCTTCCGTCCCAAAAAGAATATCACACTTTACTATTTAAAAATTACAAAAGTTTTATTTATTTGTGCGTTTTCTTTTATTATTTGATAGAATAAACTATTATTCTTGTTACCTCTTATTTTACAAATTTTGACGTATTTTTTAAATATGTGAATTTTTTATTTCTACACTAATTTGTAAATAAAACGAATTTAAAAAACATAAAGTTTTACTTTGTTTTGCAGTATGTAGCATTTTGATCACTTTCTTACGCCACTATTCAGCTCATTTCTCAATTCCCGCACACCTTCAACTCTCATATCTAATTTCTTTCAAGTGATGCTTCACGTTGTTTTTCTAATATCTTATTATCTTTAATTTTGTTAATAACAAAATAGTTGGGTCAATTTATTCAACCCATATTTTATATGTATAACTTTTGTGCAATTTCTATATATCACAAAATTTAAGACCTGAGATTTTGTAATTTTTTCAAAGATGGTAATCCATTTTACGAGGGAATGAACAAGTAATGTAACTAGTTCATATGGTAAACTAAAAGTGAAAATATAAAAATATAATATGCTTATTGAAAAGGCAAACACAATTTCAGATTTTATCGGTTTCGAGTTTTATCGTTTCGGGTTTAATCAGTTTGGCTATGATCGGTGTTGGGTCTGATCAGTTTCGGGTTTAAATCAGATATAAATTATTTAGTTCGGTTTCGATTCAAATCATTTTGGGTTTTCGGCTATAGATCAGATCTTTATTTTTTCGATCATTTCAGTTTCGGTTAATCGGTTTCAATTCTATTTTGCTAGGTCTAAATAGGACCATACATTATTGACATAGAACACCTGTCATTTGTAAATATTGTAGAGATTGGATACCCCACCCCCCCCTCGCCCTTGAATCGTAAAATTATTCACAAGGCCAACCTTTTGTTTTTCTTTACTTATTTATCGTTAATCATTTTTTAAAATGATATAGTCATGTCACTTTTTTATAAAACATTTGATGTATTTTTTAAATATATAAATTTAATTTAAAACTTTGTCGTGGCCTCTTAATTGCATATGCGGGGGGAGATTCGACGCTAGAACTAGGTGAGTATGGGCAGTCTGAGGGCTTCAAGACTTTGGGTATCGCCGATGATAGTTCGGAGGAGGTGGCTCGGACCATCGGCGGATGGGATAGCATTGCTGCATTAGGGTCGGATGAGATTTGGGTGGAGTTTTTTAAGCATGTGGAACGCGGTGGGTTGGGATGGATAACTAAGCTCTTCAAGAAGACTATGATGCCTGACGAGTGGAGGGAGAGCGTGTTGGTCCATTTGTTTAAAGGTAAGGGTGACATCCCTGTCCCCTTCAGAACGGCAGTTCTTAGATCCCCGTGTACACGTTTTTACCCAAACAGCCTTTGGACCCAGCAGGTACCACATGACTCTAACTTACTATACTTATGATGGCATACCTTGCCACTAATCCATTCAGGTCATTTCCTAGAGTTCTTCTAGGTGATATATCCAATATTCATTAATCAGTACATAATACAACATTCATAAATCCACAATGTATTTAACAAGATATCCAACATAATCAAATAGCGGCCTAAAACTAGGTGTAAACACCCATGTTTACCGTCATGCAACACACAGAGTCTCGAAATCAATCCTTGGCGAAAACACAGATCGACGGACCCGGCATCAGGTACCAGACGGTACCTGTCACGGTACGGGGTACTGTCTGACAAAACAAAATCCATATTCATACCTGTTCCGTTTTCAGCTTCAAACCATTAAAAATCTCATAACAACAAACACCAATAGGTTCATATTAACATCTTAAACATTATCAAGCATATTATTTCATCAATCAATGCCTAAATCATGCATACTACCCTTTTTGGTTTAACGACAATAATTCCCGAAACCACAATTAACAATTATACAGATAAATCACACAGATCAACCACGATAACAACTATGAATGGAATTTCAAACCTAGATGCATATTCTAGTGTTAGATGTCCACGTACTCACCTTGATTCGTCGATTCAATTTGAAAAAACGTTGTTCGAATTCCGTCGTCGGGCAGATTCACCCCGCTTGCCAGTTTTACTTATCGTTGTTTGACCCTAATCATCGTTGCTCGGAAGTCAGTAAGCCTTCGTGCGGGAGCCGTCGGGCTATCTCCCGCTGCTGCTCTCCAGGCACATCACCGCTGCCTGAACACCACCATGGCAGCCCGGAGTCACTTTCAACATCGCCGGAATCAGAGAGGATTTACCGGATGCTATCACTGGTTCGCCGGAGTTGCATCCTACTCTGGCTCAGTCGTCCAAGCCCGCTCGCTATTCACGGACGCGTCTAGGTGATGCCATCCCTGCCCTACTGTCGCCGGACAGAGCTAGGACGCGTCGTCGTCGAATTTCGCTAGATTAGAGAAACGTCGCTGCTACGTCGCGGCTGGCGCTAGTCGTCCTCGCCGTGGATGTCTCGTTGGCCGGCGTTGGTCTATCATTGGTTCCCGATTAAAGAACGGCGAAAGAGAAAAGGGTGTGCGGCGTCTTGATCGAGGAAGGAGTCGAAATAGAGACGCGTAGGGAGTATTTATGTGTCTAGGGTTTTGTACCCCGTAATTTAAAATAACGTGTCTGAGTAAAACACAGTTTTTGGGCCTTACTCTGAATTGAGGTCTGTTTGCGTCGTTGGATTCGATTTGTCGATCCTTACCCAATGGTATAACTTTTATAATCATTCAATAAGTATTTACATGTTCCACCTGATCCGTCTTAATTCTTTCAATTAATTAGTACCGATCAGTCTTTTAATTTAATTCTTTACAAATATAATCAGAATAGTCTCATTATATTGAGATGAATAGAATCTCTAAAATATCTTTTAATTCTTTAAAAGAATATATTGTCGTGAATAAATAATTCTTATTTATTTAATTATCGATTAACTTTTAGACCGGTTTCCAGAGCGTTACAATAAACATTAACTTGTAAAATACGTTACGGTCAAACATTTGTAACTTGTCATTTTTTTTGAATGTTTTAAATGACACTGTTGCGCCATTTCAAATTGAGTATGAGCAGTATACTTTTCTGAAAATTTGATATTTTGATGATTGCATTGTAAGTTTTGAAAAAAAAATCAAAAATTCAAAGAACACACTTTGGTGAGGCTGAGTTTTGGAGTGAATTCAAAGTCAAAAAACATCTGGTTCGATGTCAGATGATGAGACTTATTTTGGGTGAGTTTCAAAAAGCATGCAGTTCTATGTCGTGTGATGAGGCTTTTGAGTGAATACAAATCCAAAAAGCTCGTGATTCTATGTCATGGGATGAGGATCAACATTTTCTCGTGTCAACATGACAAAGTAAAGTTTTACAAAAAATCCAAACTTACTCTTTGCATAGGAATAAATGATAATTTCAGAAAAGTTATTTTCAATTTTTTTTCAATGTACATATTTTTGACCTTAAATTATTTTACAGTTATTATAAGACACTTATAGTTCTTTTGTTTTAGACATTAGTATTCAATTCGATATATAGAAAAACTTTTACATTTAGCCAATAACATTAATTTGTGTGCATCTTTTAGAAAAACAAATAAAAATATTTCGCTAACTTTTTTGTAAAAAGGGTACTATTACAAGTAATTTTATTTTTGTAAAGAATAAATAGTGTAAAAGAGTTTTGTGCAATAAATTGTTTAAAAGTGTGGTCAATAGTCTTTCCAAAATCTTTTTGTAAATAAGTGTTTGATCCAAAATTTCTTTTGTTGTTGTACTATTTGTTTGAGAGCAAGCAACTCTTAAGTGTGGGGAATTTGATAAGTCCGTTTTGTACGCACTTATCTTCTCTATATTTAATGTGTTATTGTCCAATTTCGGACTAAAAAAATCAATTTCTCAATGGTTTTTATAAGTTTTTATTTATAATTGTAAAAATGCACAAAAGTTATGACTTGTTGTAAAAAGAATAAAAGTTGGATAAAAAATGGTACAAAAGTGTGAAAGATTGTGCAAA